AGTTCAAATTTTTATTGATACTTGTAAAAGTCCTATTTCAAGCTGGTATATACAAATTAGAACAAAGATTATAGAACAATAAGATCTGTTGAAACAGTCCTATCAAATTCTAAAATGGATTGACTATGAATTCCAAATGGTAAAAATAGTTCCTACAACTATCTAGTAAAAAATTAATTGAAAAGTTTTGATCAAAACAGTAGAAACTACTATAAAAAAGTCAAAATACAAAATAAAAAAGTATTTTTCACACTATATCAACTCATCTACAATTCTAGCACAAATAATATTACTTATTATTCCCATATATCTAAACAACCAATGATTTTATATATATCTCAAACCTAATTATTACCATAACTAAATAGATAGGAAAGTATTAGAAAAAAGAATCTACTTACACTTCTAGGAAATTCTATAGACTGGCAATCCACAGTACTACTAAATAGATCAAGTATTATATATTCATTGGGATCAAAAGAGATTGAAATATAAATAGAGAATTGGGAAGTTAAACTGATTAAGCAAATTATATAATTAGAGGAACATATAACAGACCTAATACCTATAGATCTATAGTGCAATAGTTAGCACTCCATAGGTAATATCGCAAGAACTGAGATTAAATTCTCTAGGGGGCAACCTCTGAAAAAGCAGGTTGAGATTGGCATCCATTAATGTAACTATATAATAACTGATGTTTTCAAGTATAGCTTGTCTCATGAAGTGGAGTGTTTCAAGTCAGTTCTATATTGGATTGTGATGAGGCTGAATGTCTGAAATCAGGTAAGATTATCCCTTGACATGGTCACATTATCAAATAAGGTAATAAGAAGACTAGATATTGAACCAGTAGCATACTGCTGAAGGTAGAAATGGTAAATTCATTTAAGAATTCAAGTACGTGGCTGTGCTGTCTTTTACAAACTTTACTATTGGGAGGCCTTGGTGGGAGGAGAAATCTACAGATCACTCTGAAGGATTTAGAAATAATCAAGAAGTCCAGAATAAAGAAAATTCGATGACTTGATAACCAAACTACTCTTATTATAAATAAAATTGTTCTGGAAAAAATTAAGAAGGAATCGCATATCTTTCTGAATAGGTAGTGATTATATATATAGAGGTAGAATAGTTATAGTTACTCATATAGATAGGTTTACTTCATATATGTATAATTACTTGTTGACTATATATATAAGTCGACTGTACAGTTTTGAAAGTACCTGTACGAGCATATAAGTTAATAAAAGATGTAGAACTGTACAAGGAAACCAAAAAATATAATTAACTTGGATTGAAAAAAAACAAAAACTTTCAAACTTCTTTTCTCACGAATACCCAAGGAAAATGATGCTACCTCAATCAATGCAAGTTAGTTTTTTAAAAGAAAGGCAACAAGCCTTAGAAGTTCATTTGGATATCCAATCCAGAAAGTATCTTTTATAGTAACCTTAACATACATATTAGTATAGTCTAATTTCTAGTTAGCTCTAAAATAAAATAGGACAATGTAATATCTGAATAAAAGCTAAATAAAGACCAACTAGAGGCTGAGCCAGCTTAATAAAAATATATATATATATATATAATACTGTAGATCTAATAAAGAGTTTTAGATACAATTATAAAAGAAATATAAAACAATTTATTTTCTTTATTAATGGATCTTACAAGCAATATATAAAAAGCAAGGAAGAACTTGAAATGAGTATTGCATAGATTTATACTAAGAATAATATAATAATTAATCAATTCTTAGCAAGAGCAATATCATAGTCATCAGTTATAAAAACAGAAATCCTAGTCATACTTACTGCAATCTTTACAATATCTGAAAATAAAAAAGCAACTATATATATAGATTATAGTGCAGCTATCAAGATATAGAAGACAATCTAGTTACAAAAGTTTATTTCTATAAGAAAATGGACTAAAATAATCAACTGGCTATTATGGAACCGAATTAAGGACCTAATATAAAAAAAAAATCTTTGTTTCATATTTGAAAAGATTAAGACCCATAAAGACAATAAATTTAAAAATATAGTAGACATATTAATAAAGCAGACCAGAAAAAACAACCCTTTAATTTGACAATAAACATTTGATTTGAATCAAGTTCTTATAATAGTAGTCTGGAAGAAATATACTATTGATATCAGTATTAGAGATTTTCTTAAAAAATGAAATACAAAGAAAATAGAACTAGCCTGGATTAAGCAAAAATATATTCAAGACTAATAGATATACTTTAGTAAAGAAATTGATTGACAAATTTTCTAGAGATAATTCAATTTATATAATATTTTTTACATCTCCTTTAGTGCTAATAAAAACAAGAGTATTTTAGTAAATCTAATTCAAAATAGGCTTCCTACCCTCCAAGTGATACAGAAAAGAAAATCAGACTTATATTCAAATATAACATGTTTAATATACAAGTTGTAAAAGGAAATCCTGAAACATATTTTTGAATATTTCATAACTTAGAATAAAAGATCAATTATATGGGACAAATCTCAAAGTAAAATTTTTCAGTACATCAGAAAAACAATTGACTTATTTAACAAAAGTCAGACAGAAGTTAAAAAAGTAACAGGAAAATGAATTTAAGACATTAAATTATAGGATAAAAGCTTATAGAATACAGTTTGTAGCTTTATATATAGAGATAAGATCAAGACCTTAAAAAAGCATCTTAAAGCTCTCAAGATCCTAGTGACAATAACACAAGAAACTATTGATAAATATTGTAAAAAAATAAAGAAGATCTTCAAAAAAGGAATTTAGAACAAGTGCTATAGTATTGCTATTGAATAGAAACAAAATCAAGAAATTATCAGCAAACTTAAAAGGTTTAGAGTAATGGCTGATACAATTAGAAGAATAAATTAAGCCCCTAAGGAAGCCAATTATTCCTTTATTTTTTTTTCAAAAATATAATAAAAGAAAAAAAAGATCTAGAACAAATAAAGTTTCAAAATAATATAGTAGATATAATAAGTAATTGAATATTCAAAGATTTTAAATAGTTTGGTTTTTAATTATAGTTAAAACTTTGGAAGATCACAGTGATGAGCTATAGACAATAATCTGAGTGGTTAGAGAATAATTCAAATTACAAAAGGTATAAAATATTATTCCTTAAGTTATATTTAGAGAAGGTTATACTTTGTAGATGGGCGAGTCAAATATATAAAAGTCATAAAATATATAAATACCAAAATATATTTACAATAAAATGGACAAGCCATATTGGTCTGATTGTGGATTAAAAAAAAAAGAAATATAAAATTAAGATTTTTTAAAAATATTTTAGAACTAGAATAATTTATAATATAAAAATGGAACAAAATTCTAAATAAGGTTTTAAATAGATTCAATAAAAGAGAAATATCAAATAATAATTGAAAAAAAAAGTAAAAAAATTAATTATCAATTTTATATTAATAAAATCTTTGATTTTTAACTTCACTTTTATATATTTTTTATTAATTTCTTTGCAATAATTCTTAAATAATAAATAAATCAAAAATTCTAAAAAGTTTTGTTATATATAGTATTATTTAAAATAAATTATTTAAAAAAATTAAAAAAAAAAAACTTTTTTCATTGATCCTTAAATTATATATAAAAAAGATAGTCACAAGAAAATTTTTTTATTTTTTTGTTAAAAAAATCTTAATACTTATATTAAAATAATTTAAAATATGACTTCAAGTGTTATTTTTACTTTTTCTCTTTTGTATATAAATCATTTTAACTCAAAAACTTGATTTTTAGCAATCAAGAAAAATCAATTAACTCCTTTAATATCAATAATAAAAAAATTCTCAAAAAAAAAAAAATTAATTATAAAATATTTTAAGATTTTTTCAATTTTTGAAATAAAAGGTTATGGAGATTCTATTATAGAAAAAAACTTATTTTTTCCTTTTTTGACTATTTTAATCCTTTTAAATCTTTTTTTTCATGATTTTCTAAAAAATTTTAACTATTTTAATTTGATTCTGAATTTTGGATAACACAAATTCCTATCAATAGTAATTAATTGATATAAAACATATTAGTTTATAAAATACAAACAAGTCTTTATTAGTTATATTAATATGTTTCAATAATATTGATAGTGATTAAAAAGAAAGTTTCAAAAATTGTTCTTTTTCAAAAGTCTCAAGTAAGTTTCTAAAGAAATATCCAAGATATCAAAAGATAAGATATAAATAATATAAATTATAGAATCCTATTCTTCTTAAGTTTTTCAGATAATGAAAAGACTTTCTTAACTAGAAGCTGAAAACTTTAGGGTTTCTTTTGAGCTATTTCAATCTGATGCTTGCTTAAATGATGAATCTAGTTGAATTGACTTGTCCAATACAACAGGTGGCAACAAAGAAGATCTCTTTTAAAATTCAAGTAAAAGCAAGAAGAATCTCTCAATTAGGCAAATTCTTTTGAGAGAAGATTATTTAGTTTGTAGACTTTTTGGAAGAGCTTGAATTATATCCCTTCCTCCCTTTTTTTTTTCCTTTCCATTTATTAAAAAAATTTTTTATTTAAAAAAATTCTTATTTTTATAAATATTTTAAGTCTAGCATAAAAAATTAATAAATTTGAAAATTTAATAAAAGTTTTCTTCATATTTATTTTCATAGCTACAGTATATACAGTATCTTATTTTGCTCTTTTTATTCGAGAACCTACAATATACAGTAAACAATTTAACAAGTTTTACGTTATCCCAAAACTATTTCATTGTCATTTCATTGTATAGTAAGATGTAAATTGCATTATTTTACCGAAGATGAATTACACGCATATTCTCACTTGATAAAGATTTTATGCGCATTAGAGCTTCTTCGATTGAATAAGAAACATTCTTCAGACTGCGACAACAAAATAGATCCAAATTTTACATGTTAATGTGTATTTATTATAGAAGAAATAACAAAATACTATGTTTCTATGTTTATAATTATTACAGAAATTAATGTATTCTAAATTAATAAAAATCCAATAGCAACCGCAGTAGCCACCACCACATTAACACCAATTCCAATTTTTGCAACGCCCTTTATTGAATTGCCCTCATTGTGAGAACCAGAACTATTTGCCGAAATCCCGTTGTCGGTGTTAGTACTTGGACCGACACCGATACTTATTATTCCGAATTCACCAAGCAAACTATGGGATGAGTAGGCACAGCAATAGTATATTGTCCCACTGTCTTGGGTTACCATATAATTATATTCTCCGCCTTTCTCCACTATTCCCGAGTAAACTGTGAATGGAACAGATGAAAATTAATGAAATCTTGAGACTAAAAAGTGAGGAAAACGTCAGAAATAATTCATACATGCATTTGCTTGCGTAGAATTTTTGCAAGAAGTGGCGGAATCTGATTGCTGAATGATATGTTTACCATGTGACATTACCCATTTTATCTACGTATTTCAAGAATCAAAGGATTAAAATTCGTAGCATTGAGAATAATAATTCACATCCTATACTTACGTTATCCCCTTTGTTTGCCGTAAAATTTTGTGGATTAAAGGCCAATCCCAGTTCGTCAACTTTTATCGTGATGTCAATGGCACTAGTGTATCCTATTAACACCAGAAAAATAAGAAGCAATGCGATTGACTGTTGTTTGAGCATTACTGCCATAAATAACCCGTAGACTGAAAAGTTAATAGACAAACTAAAATTTGCTTTTAGATTTCTAGGATGATAAGAGAAGAGAAAATTTACGAGAATAAGCGGTGGTTTGAAAATCCCTTGTCGCGTATATTCTGTGTCGGGGATGAATCTATAAATAAATTGTACTGTCTAACTTAGCTTTAATGAGAATCCGAAATGGGTCTTTCAATGTTAATTATGATCTGACCAAGTAATCTACAAAGTTCATGATCTTTATATGGTTAACCTCAGCCCTTTATCAAACGAAAGCCTCTAAGAATGATTTTAAAAACGGTAAAATACGCCTCATAAACTTTTAAATTGCTTTACTCTGTTATTAATGCCTATAATACGTTAGTAAATACCTAAACTCAATATTAGAAAGATTCATACACGAAATTTGTGCAAGAATCTAATAATAGACATTTGAAAAACCAAAAGTTTCAATCTAATTTCGACTTGATTATTTGTAATTTATGTTTAATAATTTAAAATAGACCTATTTAACAATATTAATAAATAAATTAGTTTATTTAATTTAATATATAGTATTTCAAAATCCATATTCTGAGTTAATAATAATTGAATTAAATTCGAATTAAAGTTTATATTGTTTCGAGTCTATCTTAAAACTAATAATCCATTTTTGAATTTTTAAGTATTATGAGTTTATAATTAAAAAAATTTCAAAAATTTTTAATTTGCAATCATGTAAGATACTAAATGAATATTTTTTTAAAAAAATCCATAATTAGGTTAGTATCATGTGTTTATTAATCTTTAAGAAAATAGATGGTGATATATTGGGCAATTATATTATGGTTAAACTAAATCTTATGCTAACTCACTCATAAATAGCTTTCAATTCTCAAATGAGCTTAAGCCTCTAAGTGCAATCTTGGGAACAATATTTTGCTTCAAAATAAGTTTTGGATAAAAACCCTTCTAACTTATCCATCATTGCTAGCAAATTGTCATTGCATATTATTTTTCAAGGAATTAATTCCAAGAAATTACAATAAAAGAAAAGAAAAATAAAAGAAAAGAGAATATCTAAAAATACATAAATGTACTTATTGTATATAAAGAGAAAAAAAAAAAAAGAAAAAAAAAAAGTGTTATATATTCTCTAAAAGATCTTTACTAGAAACCTTCTCTTGTTAGAAACCAATCCTTTTGAAATATTCTTCTTTTTTTTTATTATTTAAAAAACTTATCTATCCATAACCTTGATTATTTTCTTGTAACTATCTAAATACTTATTACCTAATTAAATTTATTGTTTTGTTTATTATTTTCTTTCTTTCAATATTGATTTAATATCTATCTATATTTTAATTATAACTTATAATAGACCTTATATTCTTATATAATTTTTTAGTTATGTTATATAATTATTGATATCTTTCAAAAACTATGTCTAGTTAAAAAAATTTTACTAATGAGTATCTTCCATTGCTCAAAAAATCAGATTTTACAATACTCTTTTTACTTTGTAATAATAAAAAGATATTACAAAGTAGTAAAAATTCTTGTCAATTATAATATTATTACATAATATCTAAATAAATATATTTTCAATTCTAGAGAAGAATAGTAGCTTATAACCTTTTACTTTTTGGTTTTATTGTTTGACAGAAATAAGAAAATATTTTCTTTGTATACTTTGCCTAACTAAAATAATAAGAAGTTAGTTTAAACAAATAATCACATTTTCTTTACTTGAAAATTTAGTGTCTTTCCTAATAGTTTCATGATTTCTTTGTTTCAATTATACTTAATTTGAAGAAATAGAGAATTTCATATTAATAGATTTTTTTTCTTTTATCAATAATATCATTAAAATATGTAAGTATGATCAATAGAACCTTGTTTATATTTTACTACTATATAAATCAATTAGAAACCAGGTAATATCATACTACTATAAATTCAAAATCAAGCTGAAGTTGACAAAATTCTTTAGAAAACTAGTAGATACTTTAAAAAGACAAAAGATAATATATAATAAGATGGATAATAAGCCTTTACCTATCTAAAAAACCTCTTTTTTAATATTACTTCTAGCTCTTAAAGATGATATTCTATCAGTTAATTCTTTTACTTCTTAGAATCTTCTTGTCTTTAGTAAAAAACATATATACTTGAATCTATTTAGGTTATCAGAAACTCAAGTTTTTGCTAAAAAGAGTTTATAACCAAGTAAAAAGAATAACAATAACTCTTGAAGGCAAGTTTCAAGTTGTTTTAAGAAAAGTGGGAAAACTTTATTAATCAAGAAATATAAAAACTTTTTGCAAATATCTTTTTTATATATGGTTAGAGAATCAATAAAAAGAGTTATTTTAATATTATTTTATAATAACTAACTTGTCTTTGTATATTATTGATTAAGGATTATACAACTTAAAAAATATAAAAAATGTATTAAACTAGTTTAAACTAAACAAAATCAAGTCTTAACTAGATACTTTAAGTCAAATTTAATAAATAATATTATATTTTCTTAATAGTTTAATACTTAATTTAATCTCTAACTATTGATTTATGGGTTCATAGTGCAGTGGTTAGCACTCCGTAGGTCAGATCACAAGAACTACGATCAAATCCTCCAGGAAGCAATCTCTGAAAGCAAGTAGTAATCTGCATCCATTGGTATAACTGTATATAACTGATGTTTCCAAGTATAGCTTGTCTATCACTAGTCAACTAGAGTTCCTGAGTGATACAAGCTGGTCTATAAATGGATTGTAATTAGGCTGAATATTTGAAATCGGGTAGGATTATTCCTTGACACAGCCGCATTATTGAAAAAGAGTAATAAGAAGAGTAGACATTGAACCAGTAGCATGTCTCTAAAGGAAATTATGAAGGCTAAGACTGGGATGAACAGCTTCCGACATATCAAGAACTCAAGCATGTGATTGTGCCGGGTTTCACAGACTTGACTATCGGGAGGCCTTAGTGGGAAGAGAAATCTGCTGACCACTCCAAAGAACTTGAAAATACTGAAGAAGTTCAGGATAAAGAAAATTCGATGGCCTGATAACCGGACTACTCTTAATAAAACTGATCTGGAAATAATTAAGAAGGAATCACATATCTTTCCTCAAAAGGTGTAGGACTTGCATATAGAAGTAGGATATATATAGCTACTTATATATATAGATTTACTTCAAAATATGTATAAGGCCTTGTTTAATATAAGCAAGTGAACATGGTTTCATGTAAAAAGGTCTGGGTTTGGACCCTCCAGTAACTGCCAAAAAGTAACTGAATATAATAAATAAAAGATGTGCCCTAAAAAACCTGACCAAAGTGATGTCCCTACAAGAATCCATCTTGAACAAGCTTATCCAAATCTATAAACACCTCAAGAGCTCAAGAAAAACAAATATAACAATTGATGGAGCTTTTAAAACCAACAACCCCAACACTATGGACATAGGCATAATCTTTTCAGACAACCTATCTCTACTAAATGAAGCAAGTATCTGTATCACAGGGCAGAGTTCAGTCTTCCGGGCTAAGATAATAGTAGCAACTATTGCCACCAGTATCCTACCATTTAGCACAAAAGCCACCATCCATACTGACTCACAAAAACTTATCACTGAACTCGAAAAAGCAAAAGCAAGACAGATCAAGAATGTAAGCGAAATCAAACTCATCCACAACCTAGTTACCCTCATCTAAAAAGGACACAACCTAATAAAGTGGATCAAAATAGACAAAAAAAGAAACAACAACACAGAGCTGATACAGGCAGACAAACTTGCAAAAGAAAGCCTTAAACATAATACACAAGATAGCACTATATTACAAGACTGTTTTACATAGAACATCATCTTCTTCAAATTCAATGGGAATACAAAAATCACAAGTATAATCTGAAAATCAATTAAACTTATGAGACAAGCAAAGCTCACATATCAATGGATAACCTTAGACAGAAACAAAGACCTTAGTACATTCCTCAAAAGAAATATAGATTGGAAAAATTTAACCAAGCATCTATATCCCACCAAATTTACAGGTTCACATATCAACATAATGGATCACTGCCACAGGAAATTTGCAATCAAACTATGGAACATGGAACTTCTCACCATGCACAAACTTCATACCAGATACTCAGATATATACAAATCATCTAAATGCTTCGCCTGCAATCACATAGAGAACAACATGTATGTCTTCAAATGCAAATACTATGGCATAAACATCCATGACTTAATAACATCTACTATATATGCAGAAGCCACTGCAAGAATAGCAAAAGGAAGCCTACACCGAATCAAGGAAGAAATATACAATCACCTGGAAGATAATCAACTTTGGGACATAGTAATTCACGATGATGTCAGTAGAAAGATTATCAAATACCTACAACAGTTCATATCCGTAGAAACGATAACTGAAGTCACACGTAGCATAATCAATAATATCAGATTTATTACATACAATATATGAACAGACAGATGTCTCCAGATTTAAATATGGAAAAAAGCTACAGGCATTACCAATTCTGACAAAAAGTAGAAACGAGACAACAAAACAGACAAAAAGAAACATCCAAACAAGATAGACATTGACACAAAGGCAAAAAACCTACTATTAACAATTCTAGAAGAAATTATCAAGGAACATTAAACATTTTCAACATCATCACTGAATACACTAATGGCACCTAGGCATGTTAGTTCCTAATACAGGTACAACAAGCCATAAGGGGTAAGAAAACTGGGCTCCACCACCAACGGTGGTGGATACCTATTACCAATTGGTTTTATTGTCTTGTTCTACATAGAAAACAGTTTGTAAAATCTCTTTATAAATTCAGTATATGTAATTGCATATAATCAATAAAATAGACATGTTAAGTGTTTTCAAAAAAAAAAAAAAATCTCTAACTATTAAAATTATTGTCAATTATTTGTTACTATTGATTATTTTAACAATTAATAATCAAAATTATT